AGCTCTGGCTTAGCTTTGTTTTGTCAAGAGTTCTTCAGACTGGTTTGTGTCTTTGTTCTTGCAACTAGGGAATAGGAATACGTCTGCTGAGCCTTGCTCGCTTGCTTTCTTCTCCCTTTCTCCAACACTCCTTAAAGGCCACTTCCTCCACCAGAGGCCAAAAGCTCATTATCCTTGAAAGGGGCTGCCTCTTGCACAGCCGGCTCTGCGTCATTTCCCAAGAAGTGAAAGTGATCCAGTGCAAAGGCAGGTGATTGAAAGAGCTCCCGACCTTGGAAGCGAGAAGCACCTTTTGTTCCTTGTGGGTGTGAGAGGGGAGGGGGGGCCCAGCCGGCCAGGCTCCCTCCGTCCCGCTTTCTTTTCCTCAGAATTGACTCGCGGCTCTTGAAATAACAAATGGCGGGTCTGGCTGGGCTCTTTGCATCCGTGATGGATGGAGCAACTGAGTGAGGGGCGGACGTCAGGAAGGCTGGCCGTGGCCTCCGAACCTTGGGCCCGTAAGCACGGGCAGTTGGCTTCCCCAAGCACGTTCTGGCCTTGGATCCCTCTTGCTGGCCCTCTTCTTCCCCACTGTTCCTTCTTGCCATTCCCCGCTGGAAGACTTGGCCGCTGCTGCCCCCTGATGGGTGAGCTTGGCACATTTTATCCCCAGCTCTTCTGACCTCGGTGGCATGAAGCTAAGCTGGAAAAGTGGGGGCCCAACTCTGCCATATGGGCAGAAATTCAGCAGGGGCGGCGTTTCCTATCGCTGTCTCTCCACAATGGAGGAGAGGAAGGCAGTTGGGTGCGGCCTCTCAGGTAGCTGTTAAAAGAAGACAGAGGTAAAGGACTACAATTGTAATCTCTTCAGAGAAGGGACCATAATTAGACAGTCCCATACAGTTCTATTTTTGGATCTGTGTGTACCATTTATTTTCAGCTGAGCATTTCAGTAGAAACATTCCTCAGTAGCAATTTTGGGTGAGTATCAACACTTTATGTGAATGTTTGTTCTTGTATTGGTTGATCTGCTCAGTGAGGACTAGTTCCTTGAGAACTGTGCACTTGCAAGGCCTAGCCGTCAGGTTTTCCCAGTACAGGTAGTCCTCACTTAAAAACCATTCATTTAGTGACTGTTTGAAATTACAATGGTGCTGGACAAAGGGACTTACAACCAGTCCTCACACTTACAACCGTCGCAGCACTCCTGTGGTCATGTGATCACAATCCAGGGGCTTGGCAACCAGCTCACACTTATGATGGTTGCAGCATTCTGGGGTCATGCAATCACCATTTGCAACCTTTCCAGCTGGCTTCTGGCAAGCAAAATCAATGGGGAACTGTGTAATTCGCTTAACGACCATGTGATTTGCTTAATGACCACTGCAAAAATGGTCAGAAAATCAGGCATGACTCACTTAACAACTGTCCTTCTTAACAACAAATATCCTGGTCCCTATTGTGGTTGTTAAGGGAGGACTACCTGTAGAGTTGCAAACTTGACAATGAAAAAAAAATTAAAGTTTTTTTTTCTTTTTTCCACAGAGTAACAAATCCCTTCCCATCTATACAGGTGAAGGAGGACATGTCTGCACTAGAAAGATACCACCTGGGATTCTTAAGTAGCCCCTGGCTAGAAAAAGGTCAACAAGAGCCAAAAAGTTAGGAGGAAAAAGTGGAGGTCTAGATGAAGAATACAGACTTCACCTGTGCAATGGTACTCTTCCTTTTTGGAAGATGAAGCTAGTGAGAAGATGTCAGAAAGCTTTTGCACCCTCCATGCTGAGGCCCCTGGTTTGAAGAGTCCTTGGTCAGGGTTCTTCTGGTGGGCTCCTTCTACTGTTAGTCCTATCACCCCTCCAACGTAGACCAAACTTGGAAACCAAAGACACACAAACTAATACTACTCTTATTATAAGATTAGAGTAACAGAATATTGCAAGTCTGAATGTGCTTCCCCCCTTCCTCCTTTTATCTTCATAAGAACTAGGAAGGATCATGTCTGAGACACTTCTCAGGTTACAGTTCTGGCCTGGATTCAGGTTTCTTTTATCTGACCATTGTCTTGGCTGCAGCTCTTCCTCCTGTTCCTCAGGATGATTCCTTCTGCCCCTTACAGTCCTGGTCTACTGGGGCTACTCTCCCTTAACATTTCCCATAATTCTCCAGAATGATGTTAAGGCAGAAGCATTGTGGGAAATGAAAATGGCAGCTACATCCAAGTGCCCAGTGGCCCAATTAGGGCCCAGTGCTCTATCTGAAGTGTTTTCAGAGTGGTTTTACCTGCTCTCAATCTTCTCCACTTGTTCTTCCACTTAGGGTATTTTCCTCTCAATCTGCATCATATGAATTCATCAGGATATGTAAGCTGCAAAACTCTCTGTGGCCACTAGGTGAGGGCAAAAAGCAGACTGGATTTTCCCTGTATCCTTTTGCTGCCATCTAGTGGCCACCTAGGTGTCTGCAGACCAGCTTTGGTACTACCATTTCTAAAGGCATATTTAGACTCACCACTGTAACAATTCCTTTTTTACTTTATTTTTTTAAAACTAAGTTTGAGCAGTCCTGGGGAATGGACTTTGGACAGGGGGATTGAGCTAGAAGGGAGGGAGCTACAGGGAAGAAGCTAGAGAATATCAAATAGAGAGGACTGGGTCATTTTTATTGGGCAATTTTATTTATTTTTATCAATTTATATAACCGTCCAAATCACTGTTGCGATTCTAGGCGGCACACATGGAGTTAGACCCAGACAAATATGCAGGATAGTAAGTACAAGAAAAAGAACGGCAGCTGAAAGTAAACCCAGTTCCAATCATAAGAATGAGAATCAATGACGGGGTCACCTAACCTTCCGATCCCATGCCCGAGGGAACATCCAAAGTCTTCAAGGACTTCTGAAATGCTAGCAGGGTCAGGCAATTGTGAATCTCAGGGGGAATGGTAATCCAGAGGGTAGGCAACTGAGACAGCCGGTTCTTGGACCCTGCCCGATGGCACTGTTTAATCGACAGGACCCGGAGCATGCCCACCCTGCTGGATCTAGTGGGTTGGGCAGAAAGGGAGAGGGGTGGTGTCAGCCTTCCCAGGACAGGACACATAACCAGATGAGCGAATAATACTTTATTGTAAGGTTACATTAATAGAATCTCGCAAATCTGAAAGTACAACTCTCCCGCCGTCTCCTTTACAGCCTGAGAACTTGTGGGGGTCCCTTCTGAGCCTCTTTCTCCACCCATTATGTAGCTATGGGCTATGCCCTCTCTTATCTGACCATTCTCTAGGCCAGTGTTGTCCAAGCT